ATAAAGGCTTGGCCCGGCGGAAGGTTTGGTGCCAGCGGTGGGATAAAAGCTTGGCCCGGTTGGAGGCCTGGTCTCACTGCTTCTCCCCTGGCCTCGCCTCAGTTACACTTGCAGTAGTAGGCGGAGATGGAGTTATCCCAGTTCCCAAAGAGCCCCTTCTTGATCTCCTGCAGCCGATATACCACCCCGCTGTTGAACTTGCGGCTGTAGCCTTTCTTGCCCGTCCTGGACCAGACACTGAGATCGCAGCGCGGCGCCACCACCAGGGAGGAGATCTTGTCGTTCCAGCTGAGTGGTATGTAGGGGACGTCGTTGCCGGGCTGCACCTGCAGCACGTTGCCCCCGCAGCACTGGGCGTAGTAGGGGCTGTCGTCGGTGTACAGCTGGGCACAGATCTTGCTCCCGTCCGCGTTCTTCAGATCCGCCGGCGCCGGGCACTGGGCCCAGGCCGAGGCCAGGAGCAGAGGAAGGAGGAGCAGGGGGTGAGCGGTGGCCATCGTCCCGGTGCCGATGGGGGAGCCGCCGCAGCGGTTGTCGTTTATAGAGCCTCCCCCCCCTTCTGAGGCAGGGGTCCTGCCGGGGGCGGAGCCCAAGGACGCCAGAGGCAGGTGTGATAAGGGTGGGAAAAGGGAAAGCTGGTGGCATAGCAGAGCACCGTGTGTCCTGCCAAGGGAGCTCCCCCAGCTGAGGCCTCACGCGGGCACCTGGGGGGGGGGGCAGCTAACGGGGATGGGGGCTGCTCCCCCTGGAAAGGTGGAGGTCACTCACCGCTGCCCCCCATTGGGCTTGGAGGAGTTGGAAGTGTTATTGTCCTCCCCCTATTTTATAGCTAGGGAAACTGAGGCCTGGGAGGGCCCAGAGGTCATCCAGGAGTTCTGGCTCCCCAAACTGGTTGTGCTGTAACCACGAGATATCACTGGCAGTAGAACCCAGGAGTCCTGCCGCCGGCCTCCACTTGCTCTAACCTTTAGACCCCGCTCCCCTCCCAGAGCAGGGAAGAGAACCCAGGCCTCCTGACTCCCAGTCCGTCCTGCTAGTCAGGACAGCTGGGTTCTGGTCCTGGTTGTGCCGCGCGACCTTGGGCGAGTTGTTTCACTCGCTCTGTGCCTCAGTTTCCCTGGCAGCGCGGAAATGAGCAACGCGATCCCCTGGCCCCAGCGCAGGGCTGCTCCGGGTACTCCCCAAGCGGCCGCCACCTGCCTTCCCTGCAGCCCTAGGACGCCAGGGTTTCATTTTCACCCCCCCAGCAGGAGGGAGAGCAGTTCCCCTTCCCCCCACTCCCACCAGCTGGAACGACACATAACAAGCTCCCACCACTTCTGCGGCAGTGACAGGTGTGTGCTTTCCCCCGGCCATCCATCCCTCCCCTCCCCCGGGTCACGGCCCCGAACCGAGTGGGGAGGGGGAAGTCTGATCCTTTCATCTGCTTCCAGCCAAGTTCATTCCCAAGGACGTGGCCTTCTCCAGGCAGCTCTGCAAACATCTGCAAGATCGGCTCCCCGCCTGGGGATGCCGGATCCTTTCCAGAGCCGAGTGGACGAAACTTGGGGCCCGATCTCTACCGGCAGGTAGGCCCCTAAGGACACCAGGAGGCACCTAGGGGGATCCCCGTGAAGCACCTAGCTGCTTTCTGTGCCTAAATCCCTTTGTAAAATCCAGCCCAATGCTCTCTGCTAGGGACCCGGTATTCCCTTGGGAATAGCAGGGACAGAGGAGGGAAGTATTGTTACTTATTAACTTATTTTTGAAGCCCTTCTGCATGCAACGAAGACCAGGCTGGTGATTAGGATGCTGGCCTGGCTCTCTGGTGGTGGTTCCAGTCCTCGCTTTTCCAGCAGTGACTTTGAGCAAGCCATCAACGGGGGGTACAGGGCGGCGAGTCGCTACTAACTGTGAAAATCGACCCCCCTCACAGTAAAATCTCTGGGGGTGTCTGTTTCCTTGGGAGAACAGCCCTGCCTTTGTCTATAGAGGCCTTGTGGGGGAGTCCCCGGGTGGGGCTGTCAGTCCTGCAAACCCCCCTCGCCTTGGCGGGCGAGCTGCCTCTGGAGAGGTGCTACGGGGTGGTTACTTTCCTGGCGTGGTTTCCTTCAGGTGGGAGGAGCCTGGCAGGGTGGGGCGGGGCTTAGCCCCTCACCACCACCTGGGACTAACTAGCGGCTTCCCAGGTGATGGGTCTTGGGTAAGAGGCCTTGGAACAGCTCAGGGGACGGGGAGAGGAGGCCACCCAGTCGCCCCACCTCGCTTACGCGGAGCTGGTCTGATTTGGAGAAATAAACCCATTCCCGGAGAAAAGCTCCTGAAAAATCTGGGAGTGCTGCGGCTGTGCTGGCCCATGAGTCAACCAACCCCACTGGTTTACAGGGTGCGGGGACCCCCTGTGCAGGTTGGTGCTTTGTTGAGAGGCCGAAGATCCCGGTGGTCTGGAACCACTTGGGAGTTTCCAGCAACTTGAGAGCGCGTTAGCAAGGCCCAGCGGGGCTGGAGGCGCCTGGGGCAGGGGCTGCATGGGGAGATCAGGATGGCGGTTTCTTTACAAGGCTGCGCCCAGCCCTCGGTGTGGGGAAAACCTTGACCGTGCCCTGCCCGAGCCGGAAATCAGCTTGGGAGAGGCATGAACGGCCCCGTTCCTTCTCGCTCTAAACTGCTGCAATCCCGTGGATGGGGGAAGGGGACGGCCCACATGTGGGGTGTGTCATGGGCCCTGCATGGCCTTCGTTGGGTCCTGCTGGCGCGGTTAACTGGCTGCTGAGTAGCTTAGAGGGGAGGCCGGTGCGGCTAAGCAGAGCGAGTCCAGAGGACGGGAGGGAACAGCAGAGCCAGAATCCGTAACCTGAGCAAGTGTAACGTTGACAGACCCCGGTCGTCAGGATCGAACCTGGGACCTCTGGCGCTTAGCTAATGCTGTGTAGCAGACTCGTTTGCTCGCTCGCTGAGTGGTCTCGGTGCCGCTAGATGGGACACAACACCACACCCAGGTGTGTGGGTTACACAAGGTGCTTTGCTACTAGCTTCTGTGGGCCTAGTGCCCGGCCCCCGGCCGGGGAGGCAGGACACCTGGGTTCTCTTCTTGTCGCTGGCCTGCGGGTCTGACATTGCGCGAGTCGAGGCACGGAGAGACCCTACACAGCCCGAGCTCCCACAAGAGAATGTGGCCTATCCCCCGAATGCCCTGGGAATGGAACCCGGGAGTCCAGGGTCTGCCCCACCAGACCTGCCTTCAGGGACCCACATGTCTCTTCGCAGGTGGCTAAGGCGACATTAGCCAAGTGTCCCGGCAGGAGGTGTGTATCTTTTTCCTTCCCTCCCGTCTCTTAGCAGCAGGGCCGGCTCTAACTTTTTTGCCGCCCCAGGCAAAAAAGAAGAGCGTCGCCCCGCCGTACCCGCCCCCCGCGAGCGCCGCCGAAATCCCCGCCCCCCCAGCGCCGCGCTGCCCAAAGCCCCGCCCCCCTCCGAGCACCACGCCGCCCGAAGCCCTGTCCCCCCTCCGAGCACCACGCTGCCCGAAGCCCTGCCCCCCCGAGCACTGCCCGAAGCCCCCGCCCTCCCTCCGGACACCATGCCGCCCGAAGCCCCCGCCCTCCCTCCGGGCACCACGCCGCCCGAAGCCCCGCCCCCCGAGCACCACTTGCTCTAGCGCGGCAAGACCCAGAGCTGGTGGGTTTGATCCCTGCTGTGCCGCGAACGAACATGTCTTATTCAAAGCTGCCCCGTGTCCTTTCCTTCAGCAGGTGCTTTTGGGACGGCCTTCGAAAGCCCCAAGAATGATGCAAATAGAACTGCTCTCCCAGCCCGGCCCAAGCCCTAGGGGCGATGCAGATGGCAAGAAATACGTGTGCTTTTTTATTTTTTAACCAGCCTTTTTATTAACCCTGCCATAAGGCACAACACCGCGATAGGAAAGGCTCGAGGACAAAGCGAAATGTCTCCATCATCACTCAAAATGATACAGTGCAGAGAGCTCAGATTCTCCCTCCCCATTCTGAAATCACAGGCTCCCTGCCACTCACATAATAAATAATTATTAAAAAAACCCTCCATTAGCAGTACAGGGCACATGACACATGTCTGAGCAGTTCTCAATCCCCCCCAGCAGAGGGCGGCATTGCATGTACACACAAGTCGGCTCCTTGCGCCATGTCGGACGGAAAGTCTCTCTTAACAGACGATCTAAGTCATAGACGACGAACCGTGAATAAATAAATATCGAATCAAACTCCAGTTTCAATAATGACCCCCCTGATTCCAGGGATTGAAAATAAATTACATAAATAAGACACACCTCCTGTAACACTGCTGCAGCCAGGGACGGCAGATTGCACCTTAAAACACGAATGCAGAATTTCTTCGGCTGGAGTGAAATTCACCCCCTGGGTAGCCGTGCGCTCCTTCTACACAGGGTTGAATTTCTCTCGCTAGTGAGCAGAAACCAGCGCCGTCTACATGAAACCGCGGAGAACTATTGGAAATTTCAGAATCACGAGTTTTGAAAGTTCAACAGTTTGGAAATCCAACAACGCTGTCCGCCCGCTTCAGAGTGAGTTTGCAAATCAGGGATAAAAAGCCACGAAACTGGCCACGCTGATCGCGAGGCCCTTTCGAAAAGGTTAGGCCTTAGTTTCGTAAAGGAGAGGCAATTAGCCAGGGGACCGGCTAGTAAATCTCTGAGGAGGCCGGCAGGAGGCAATCCGAGGGGTTGACATTGACCTGAGAAGGCGAGTCGGGAGAAAGCTACATCTTCTCCTGGTATATAACAAATACAATACTTAAAAATATATAAGGTCCCACCCACCCTTTCTCTCCCTCTTCCCCCACCGCCCCCTTTTCAGTTCTGTAGATGTCCGGTCTAGTGGCAGCAGGGCAGGTAGACGGCGACAGGGTTTCAGTGGCAGGACTCGTTGAACTTGTGGGCAACGTTCTGCAGATCGTTCAGTAGGCGGAAGAGGTTGAAGATCACAGCTTCCTCCAGGCATCTGGCAGACCCCTAGGACCAGAGAAATAGCAAGAGGGCTTTACAGCTTGTCACAGCCGCAGGTTCAGAGCCCGGCACGGAGCGCTGGGGGGGTGCGTGGCGGCGGCAGGGGATAGAACTCGGGTCACTTGGGCTAAAGGAGAATCTCCGCTAGCTGTCAGCACCAGAAGGGATAGGACACAGGGTTGTAGTGTTGTGACTCGAGCCAGCATGTACAGATGTGCAGAGAGTTCACTACTATCCCAATGGTGTCTTTCCTTCTCAGCGGCTCAGGGTGCCCCTCCCCATCTTAGTTTAACTGGCCCCAATGCCCCAGGGTGCAGCTGAACAGGGATTTATCTGCAGTGGCCTTAGGGGAGCACCTAAGAGCCTCAGTCACGGAGCAGGACCCTATTATGTCAGGTGCTGTACGTTCTTCTGCTTCCAGGTTTAAACTCATCTCTGGGATGAGTTCTTATTGCTACTAGGTATATTACGGTAGCTGCCATGGACCAGGTCGCCATGGCGGTAGGTGCTGTACACCTGTATAGCTATTAAGTGTATTACGGTAGCACCTAGGCACTTTGGCCATGGAGCAGGACCCTCCTGTGCTATGTACTATATATTTGTATTGCTATTAGGTGCATTACGGTAGCACTTAGGCACCCCAGCCATGGAGCAGGACCCTCCTCTCCCCGTGCCAGGTGCTGTACATTTGTATTGCTAGTAGGTGTATTACGGTAGCACCTAGACACCCCGGCCATGGAGCAGGACCCTCCTGTGCCAGGTACTATATATTTGTATTGCTATTAGGTGCATTACGGTAGCACCTATGCGCCCTGGCCACAGTGCAGGATCCCCCAGATGCCAGGCGCTGTACAAACCCAGACCGACAGGGCAAAGGGCCGTGGCGCCGTCCCGCATCCTCACCTCACTCTTTCCGGCGTGGGCTTTCCGGAGCCATTTGGCGAGGATGGGCCGCTGCGCAGCCACGTCGCCATCCAGGCCCTTCCGCTGGATCTGAAAGACGGTGCAGAAGGTGTTACGAACGGCCCCCTCTCTGGCGTGCCGAGGGCGGGCAGCAGCTGTGCTCGGCCTGCCGCTCGCTGGGTGGCACCAGCCTCATCTTTATGGAAACGTCTCCCACCCAGGGACTCCCCCGGCTTTCAATTCCCTCCCGGCTGGCTCGCGGCACGTTGGATTTCATTGGAAAAGAAGGGGCCCAGCGACCGGAGCTACTTCCCCAGCTTGGGCGCAAGAGGGTCTGGGCCGGGATGCAGCAGGTTGTGGGGTATATTAGAAGGGAGCAGTAGTTGTGAGTTGCTGTGTGTGTGTGTGTGTGTGTAAAAATATAATCCAGATACTCATTGCACTGAAAGAAGCTGCCTTCAGCTCACCTTAAACTGCTCTAAAGAAATACGTTTTCACGTGACGGGCAATTGGCCTTTGGAACTCATTGGCACAGGAAGTTGGCGAGCTCAGTGTAACGGGGTGGCCTGCCCCTTTAAGAGCCTGGGGCCAGCCAACCCTGGTCTATGATCAGCCCCGGCTGGGAAGGGCAGGTGTTTTCTGGAAAAGCTCATGGGGGTGGGGAAACTGAGGCAGCAGCTAGCCTGAGGCAAGACTGGGGAAGGTGGTGATGTGCCTGGCAGGAATTTAGCAAGCTTTAGGAAGGGATGTTTCTATGGCGCACAAGAATCGCTGGTGTTATAAGAGCTAATGCTAATTTTAAGATTTTTGGCAGGGAAACTGAGGCGTCTGCTTCCAGGTTTAAACTCATCCCTGGGCATTAGTGATCAGGATGCTGGCTGCTGTCAGAGAGGGGATGCCGGGTTAGACCGTCCTCAGCTCTGATCCATCCTGGAGACTCCGATGTTCGTTACAAACCAGATTCTGTGCTCCGTTAGGCTGTGACCCAGGGGGTGGAACCTAGCCCCGAGTTCAGGAATCCACGAAACCCTCCGCGGAAATGCAGCAGCCTCTGAGGTGGGGAGCGAGGTGAACAATCCAGAGCTTGCTAGATCCCATCCAACTGCAGGGGCACGTGGGGAGAGAGAGGGCAGCTAGGCTGGGACGGCCGTGTTAAAATCGCTGAACCAACGCAGCGGGGCTGCATCTCAGCGCTATGTGAGGGATCCCTGTATACACAGCTCCTGTGTCCCACCCCGGAGGTGGCTGCATCTCAATGCTGGGCAAGGGATCCCTGTATACACAGCTCCTGTGTCCCACCCCAGAGGTGGCTGCATCTCAGTGCTGGGCAAGAGATCCCTGTATAAACAGCTGCCACGTCCCACCCCAGAGGCGGCTGCATCCCTGTGGTCGTCATCAGTGCTGGTACTCACACAGCTCCTCAGGTCCTCCTGGATACTCGCCAGGATCTCCAGGGGCTTGGATGCGTTCCTGACCAGCTCGGGCTCGCTGAGGTTCTGAATGACCCTGATGGTCACATCCACTTTCTTCTCCAGCACCAGCAAGTTTTGACATTCCTGGGGGGCACAGCAGAGGGATGTCTGTATGAGACCAGAGGGGGGCAGCAGGGGACCCTCAGGGCTGGGGTCAGAGGGCAGGTCTGGGGGATTGCCCAGGCATGGGGTGGGGAAGAGGGATGGAGAGGGTGGGGGAGAGGGAAGGGTAGGAGGAAGGGAGGGGGAAGGGTGGGATGGGGCAGAGAGGGGGAGAGGGAGTCAGGTTGGGAGTGTGTCTCCGCCGTGGGGTCTCTCACCGACAGCTCGTCCAGCTTCCGGCGGAAGATCCCGGCGGAACAGTCCACAGCAGGGTCCTGGAGCATCTCATTCTGTGGGGAAAGGCAATGCAGGTGGTTAGTCGTTCCTTGCCCACGCAGCGAAACGTCTTCCATTCGGGCATCAGAGCAACGCAGGGTCACACTTTACCCTAGAGTGACTCCATTCTCGGCAGCCACCCATGAGATGCAGCCGTCTCTGGGGTGAGACGGGGGACTGGGATCCCTCACCCAGTGCTGAGATGCAGCCACCTCTGTGGTGGGACGTGGCGGCTGTTTATACCACGATCCCTCACCCAGTGCTGAGATGCAGCCACCTCTGGGGCAGAACGCGGCAGTGGCTGGGCAGCCGCACAGCCGTGCTCGCACCACCCTTTAGGACAGGAAGTGGCAATCACTTCCTCCTGTATCCCACTGAAACTACCAGGGGCAGCATGAAATTTACAGTTTGGCTCCAGTACTGGGGTTTACCCCCACCCCTTGTCCTAACTCTTCAGTTCCCGAGGGATCGGACAGCGGTTTTACATCAGCCTCTACTCACGTATTTATCCCTGAAGTCCTTAAAGGCTTGGTTATATGGGGGGTAAATGGATTTGTATTGGGAAAGTTGGCAATTCTTTACTGGAGCCCCTTCGGCAAAAGCTTCCACCAATACCAGCAGGAAAGCTGAGACTAGCAGCGTCCGGACCATAGTGACTGCGTCTGGAAGAAAAAAAAATCTCCTAAGTATGGTCTTTTCCCCACAAAACATTAGGGCAGAGAGAAATTTTTCAGCCAAAACTTTTGGGGGTGGGGGGACCTGGTGACCCCAAAATGTTTTTGCCAATTGGTGTCCGCTTGTGTCGAATTGATTTGGTCAAATGTTTTGAGGGTATTTTTGGTTTGGCCTGACTTTGTTCTTCCAATATCCTTCAGTTTTATTTCGAGAGCAATCAAAACTGGTCAAAACTGAAAGGAAGCCTTTTGTTTGACCCCAAATGAAAATTTTTTTTTTAGACTTTTCAATAGGCTCCAAATTTTGAAAAATTTCCTTTTCGGTTCGACCTGAAACTATTTTTTTTCTTATTTTTAAATTTCCCCCCCCACAAACCAAAAACCCCCCCACCATTGTTCACACAAGGGAGCCCCTCTGTTAATCATGCTTGGACTCATCAACCGCCAGTCCAGATTGCTTTCACTTGAGCTAGCCGCAGTCCTTCTGTGTCTGACTTTCCCATAGTATCTGAGCAGCACCCGCACTGATCCTCACGACACACACGCGAGGTAGGGAAGTGCTGTTATCCCCTTTTATAGATGGGGAAACTGAGGCACAGAGCGGCAGCGTGACTCCTCCAGGGTCACATCGGAAGGGGGTGGCAGAGCAGGGAATTGCATTCCAGAGTCTGCCTTAATCAGTGTCACATCCTTTTTCTATACACAGCCCGCTAAGGTGAGTCTGCGGGACCCGGGCTTCTGGCCTTGGGGATTTGAAGCCCACGCTGGCGTGTCCACACTGCATGGTAAACCTGGACTCGCAGTTGCTGGACCCGGGTCTGGCAGCCGCGGTAACGCATCCACACTGCACTACACGGACCTTCTGAGCCGGCGCTGCAGTCTGAGCTGCGTCCGCACTGCAAAAGGCCAGGGCTGGGACCCGAGTCCCAGCAGAAATGAGCTTTGACCCACCCTCCTATCCAAGGGCCTGGAGCCGGCGTGTTTGCTGACCCGAGTCAGACAGGTTTGTGTGTGGACGGGAGGCGGGCGTGGGCTCCAACACGAGTCAGAGCTTGAGCTTCGCGAGCAGTGTAGACGTGCCCTGGTGGAGTGACATCATTAGCAAGAGGTCGTTGTCCTCTAGCAGAACTAGTCACTAGAACAGGCAAGAGGTTCTCCTCCAGGGTTAAATTCGCCCCTGGGCAGAGCAGGAGAGCCAGACCCATGCAGCAAGAGCTGGTGGCCAGATTTTTCCACTGGCTCTTCATTGTCAACTGGGGCCAGCTTTTCTAACGAGTGCCTAGGCCCGCGGGGGCTGAACTGCGGTGGGGGAGGGGGTGTACCTACCCCACACTGGGCCGGAGGGGGTTAACCCCATGCTGTGGGCCGAGGAAGCCACACACCTCTTTGCCCCTGCTGGGCATGCTCCCATGGGGACCAGCCTAGCGGAGGGAACAGCCCAGCTCTGGCGTGGCAGCCAATGAACGCAGACGTGGATTCTGGGTTGGAACCTCAACAGCCCCCCAGCGTTGCTGCCGATGCCGAGGGACCCCCGCGTTGGAAGAAAGGGGAGGAAGCGACCCGGGGAAGGGGATGACCGAGACTGAGCCGCGAGGACCCTGGGTCGAGACCCGGTGGAGAAGGATGGGCCCGGGTCCCCCTGCCCCGTCCAACCTGCCGCGGACACCGCCGACGGGCAGGGAGGTGAATTGGGCTGCCGAAGGCCATTGCATAGGCTTTGGCCATTAGGCCGTATTGTCCTGAACTCTGGGACAGCCCTTTTGATTCTGGCCATGGGGTTGTACCACCCTGGGAAGGACGGCTACTTAGGCTTTGACCACTAGGCCTTACTGTCCCAAAGCCCAGGTCAGCGATAGCGACTCAGTCTATGGGGCCAGACTGCCCTAAGGGGCTGACGGGGTGAAGCTACCCTGCAACAGGAGGGGAAATGTCACAATTAGTCATTTATTTTGTATTCTCCTACCACCAAGGAGCCCCAGGCTTGGACCAAGACCCCACTGTGCTGGGGGCTGTACATTTTATTGCTATTAGGTGTATTACGGTAGCGCCCAGGCTCCCATTTTGCTAGGTGACCTAGGAACACACAGAACAAGCCGGTCCCTGCCACCTCGCTCCCTTCTTGCCCTGCGCGGGAATATTCATGTTCCGTAATGATCTGCCGACTGGCTTCCCCTTGGCTTCGGGGTGTCCGGTTTCTCGTTCTTGAAATGCGCCTGACCCCTGGCATTACGCGATCTCACACACGCTGAATGCCAGGCCCACAGCGAGCGAGTTTCCCTGTGTGGCCAACTTCACACGTCTCTGGGACGTCCACGGAGAGCGTTCGCGTCACAGATGGGGGCGACTCGTGTGAGTAAGTCTCTGACGCCGGCGTATAATTAAAAATCCAGCGGGGTTCCATGGATCTTAAAGAATGCTTCCTCGGGAAAAGAAACAATTTTGTCTCTGCTAAGCCGGCTTCATCAACACTCTGCTAAGTTTGGTTTCTAATTAATACCAACGAGGCGGGATTGCTTCACTCCTCGAGCTGCAGCAATTGAATTGGCTGTTTGCCTTGTGTGTTACGGTCGTTCTCCATCCCGCTTGGCAGGCGTTTGCAGCACAGAAATTGCGGGAGTACGATCATTCGGCTCTAAGAACGAAATGGTCATTTTTGCCCACGGACCTAATGATCGGAGTTGACTTCTATTGAACTTCAAGGAACTGAAGGGGGCGGGGAGTACGTGGATGGATAGATGAGTTTGTGGGGCGGGAGGGGTGGATAGCTAGAAGGGAGTGTGTGGGGATGGATGGATGAATACACCTTGAATCCTGCATGCAGCGCGGGTCGCCCCATCTCAAAAAGATATGAGAATTGGAAAAAGTCCAGAGAAGGGCAACAAAAATGATTAGGGGATGAAACAGCTTCCATATGAGGAGAGTATCAGAGGGGCAGCCGTGTTAGTCTAGATCTGTAAAAAGCGACAAAGAGTCCTGTGGCACCTTATAGACTAACAGACGTATTGGAGCATAAGCTTTCGTGGGTGAATGCCCACTTCGTCAGATGCATGTAGTCATATGAGGAGAGATTCAAAAGACTGGGAGTTTTCAGCTTGGAAAAGAGATGACCGGAGGGGGGGCGGGATATGATAGTCTATAAAATTGTGACTGGTATGGAGAAAGTGAATAAGGAAGTGTTATTTACCCCTTCTCATAACACAAGAACTAGGGGTCACCCAATGAAATGAATAGGCAGCAGGTTTAAAACAAACAAAAGGAAGTATTTCTTCACACAACACATGGTTAACCTGTGGAACTCCTTGCCAGGGGATGTTGTAAAGGCCAAGACTATAACAACATTCAATAAGAATGAGATCAGTTCCTGGAGGACAGGTCCATGAATGGCTATTAGCCAAGATGCTCAGGGATCTAACCCCATGCACTGGGTGTCCCTAAACCTCTGACTGCCAGAAGCTGGGAACGGGCGACAGGGGATGGATCACTTGGTGATTCCCTGTTCTGTTCATTCCCTCTGAAGCACCTGGCATTGGCTACTGTTGGAAGACAGGATACTGGGCTAGATGGACCGTGTGGCCATTCTTCTGTTCTGTGTTCTTACGATGAGTGTGTCCAGGGCAGGATGGCGAGAGGAAAGGAGGGGTGTCGTGGGGTGGATAGGAACAGAAGGAGCAGAACGAAGCTCTGGTTTTTCCAGGCTGTATTTGTGTTTACTCCCAGGCAGACGTAATTGCATAATTACTGTATCGGGAAGCTCAGATAAATAAAATAGTGGATGTGCTTGTGGCGAAAGCCTGATTCTTTTCAGAAACGCAAGAAGATAATTACGGGACTTGCCGGAGTCTGCCAAGCGAAGTCGTTCATTGCCAGGCGCAGTTTGGATTTCAATTATTTTTTAACAACATTTACATCAGCAAATTGAGTAATGGGGTGATTAGCACAAGGCAAGAATCTGGTCCGGGGCTACTATGCTGCCGAAGGAATCACAATGGCTCGGTCCTATCTCAGTGCTACTGTGTTACTTGGGCGCTGAGTTGTGTCACTGTTCAGTGCCTCAGTTTTCCCTTCTCTAAAATGGGTTAATACTGTCCTGACTTTGTAAGGCCAAATCACCAGCTGGTGGTAATTGGCCGTAACTCCATTGAAGTCAGCCTCTTTTCCACAACTTCAAGGACCCGAAACTTTCTTCATTTGAAGTGAGAGAGAGATTTTCACCCAAAAGCTGCCAACCCCTGAAAAGTTTTAGCTGAAACTCCGAACGGTTTAGGCCCAAAACTGCCAAAAGCAAAATCATTCTAGACCAAAAGCAGCTTTATTTTTTAGGGCAGAAATTAAAAAATTTAGGCCAAAACCCTGAACACGTTCAGAAGAAAATTAGAAAAGTTGAAGCCGAAAATGAAAAAAATTTGCAGCCCCGAAAAATCTGGTTTGGGTTTTCCTGAGAAAACGGGAACGTTTCTGTGGAAAGCGGGCACCTTCTGCGAAAACTTTCATCCGGGCAAACCCTTCCTCCCCCATTTTCCCATCACACGGAAGTTTCGACAGAAAATTTGGGATCAGCCCTAAAGCCTACCTGTGAGAGCGATTGCCCGGACGTCGGGTCGATTCCTCTGGATGCTGGGATCCCTTTCTGCCTGCTTTTCGCTGCTGATTGTGTCTCTGCTGCTCCATTGCTACGGCTTTTATGCCCCGGCTGTTTTCTGTTTGTAACCTTGCAAATAGAAAACATGTTTTGGCTTTTGGTGCCCGTTTGGAAAGGGAAAATGGAAAGGTTGGGCAGGTGTGTGCAAGCAGGCCGGGTTGCAGGGGAATGATCTTTGGAGAGAAAACTCTAGGTGGTATCCTGGCTAAGTGACGTAAGATTTGGAGAGGTTTTGTACAATGTTAGCATAAGCTTGCCCCTCTGTGCGTGAGGTCTCGACCAATAGGAAACCACGCCAGGAAGAACTAAAGAGGACTTTCCCCTTGCTCACGAAATCC